AAAGGTGTCCCTGTGGGGGTGGGGGAAGCACAGAGGCTGGAATGCGATGATGCCTTCAGAACAGAGTTCCCATATGCTCCAGGAGGAAACTGGCTCACATCACTGTGAGGTCTGTGAAATGACAGCCTTGTCTGTCGGTACCCTGCATGATAAGAACAGCTTTTCTTGCCCAAAATGTGCTTTCTAAGTTGGAGGGGAGGAGAGGAGCACCTTTACAGGCTAGGTCTAGAAAGAAAAATGAAAACCTGTGTTTCTCTGAGGTCTTCCCTACGCTGAGAAGGAAAGCTTCTCAAACCTCGGGGATAAAGGTAAAAGTGCATAGTGGCACTAGCACAGTTGGAGCGAAGAGGGAAATGTAAAACCCCTGAGATGGCTGAGAAAGTGAGAAGTTGTTTTGTCTCTACACCGCCTGCCCACACTCTCACAAAGTAGAATATTAGGTGGTTTATACCTCTACTTACCCAGTATCTATACAATATTTCAAACCTATATAAGCAATCTTTTCCAGACAGATGTGAAGCCAACACAGCGTAAAATTGTTTTGTCAGGAGGGAATGTGCATCATAAACGTAGAACCAACAAGGTCCAGATTTGAAACTTTCTTTAATTCTAGGATGCTTTGGATTTTAACTCTTCCATCACCTTCCTGACAGCAGAGGTTTCACTAGCTGTTCTGACATGCTGAAATGGATGGAATCAGGTTAAGTCCTAGCGCAGATGGAGCTAGGATGGAATAAGTAAGAGAAGATACTCAGCCCTTTGTTGCTTCTCATTCAAAGAGTCACCTTAGAGCTGAGTAGTGCTGCTGGTATTGATGTGAGCTGAGCAGCTATTCTTCCTCTGGCTGTGCAGGGCTGAGGAGAAGGGAAGAGAATTTATAGTACTCTGGTTGTCCAACTCTCATAGGAAGTGACTAAAGTTCCTCCAGTAGCTAGACTTACCTTTGCATGCCTCCTCCTCTTCCTGAGAGCCCTCAAAAGATGCGGACAATGTGCTGCTCAGACTTGTACCTTCAAGAAAATAATCCCAGAATCATGAAGGAAAACAGCTCTACTTCTCTGAAAAACACTTGCCTTGTTGCTCTAAGTTTTTCTTCTGGTAGATCTTGCCTTAATTTTTCCATTGGCCTAAGGGTATGAGAAGTGTTGCAGTTCAAATAAGAAGCTGAAGAATTCCTCTGAACCTGAAACCTGTTAATTTTTTGAATTTCATTATACCAGGGAATGACAAAACTTGGAAGCCCGTAGTGAATAGAATTATTTCCCTGCTTGCATAAGTGAGCATCATTCAGCTCATTACCTTGGAGCTGAGCAAGAGTATACACAAAAGACTTAAACAGATAGAAAGTTTACCACTTGCTGGGTAACGTGTAGTTGTATTTCCAACCTGTGTTTTTTCCAACTGTAGCTTTCAACTATTTTGTCCTCTTTATGCCTATTTTATCTGGATTTGGAAGTCTTCTATTTCAATTCTCCAGACAGTGACAAGATTGTTGTCTTTATATTCTTTGGTAATTAATTTGGATTAAGCTTGTAGATTTCTTGTTGCAAAGATGTTTTCCAGACCTTAGGTTTTTGTAGCTGTCTTCTGTTTTTTTTATAAAACAAAAGCATCAGAAGTGCGTGTGTTATTCTGGGAGTGTTCTCTTTGTGAAGATAATGTCTCTCCTTTCTGCTATTTACCCTTTTGTCCCTTCAAGGATTGCATTGACCTTTCCGATCCTAGAATGTATTTGGAGGATCTATGTTCTCTCACTTTTTTTCAGTTATGCAAAATGTCTTTTAGAATATGATTTTCCAGGATACACTACACTGATTTCAGTCACTTCTTCCCCATTTGTAAGGTTCCAGTGGACTTTCCTCTTAGAGTACAACTTTGGTTTTATTCAGGTACATTTGGCAGCTGTTTTAGACTGTTATGCATTAATTCAAAGGGGTGAACCTGTTTAAAAAAAAAAAAGGAAAAAAAAAAAAGAGAGACTGGAGTCTTGTTCATCCTGCTCATGATTTTGGTGTAGACAAGGCTGATTAATGTTACTCATTGTTACTGCTCATTTCCTATGACTTTTAAGATTTTTCTGTGTACACTTACTTTGCTGGAGAGAGATCTCAGTCTCCTGACCGAGTCAGTTTGTAGCAGGTTTTACAGGGGTAAATTAGTGTTTCAGGATCTAGATTTCTGTCATATGAAGTAAATTCCGTGTCAGTGAACTTGCCTGAGATTCAGTCTTCTCCATATGACTTCAAAGATCTTTGCTGCCCTGGTCCTCTTAAGGTTCCTATGAGTTTCTTTTGACATAAGTGTCTACATAAGCCTTGATCCTTAAAGGTTCACATCTAAAATAGTAGCAGATATACACTTGTGTTTTTGTCACCAGGTTTGTCTGAAACTTGATGTCTGTAACACTTGTTGTGAGCTCTGGTTTCCCACCTGCAATGCTCTCAGAAGTGCAGTGTTCCCAGATCATATTATGTGCTTACGTAGTGAATATAAACTGTTTGGAAGTGGTGTAGGGATGCTGCCTGTTCAGCCAGAATTCATCTCCTGTGAGACCACAGAGCTAAGAACTGCCACCGAAATGAATCCAGAGTTCTTGCTAAGCCTCAAGCTGTAACTTACATCCCCTCAACTTTTGTTTTTTGATTTTACATCTTTTCAGCATTATGCTTTGGGACAGTAAGATGGAATATTACTTCTCTTTCCATGCTGGGTTCATATTTCTTACTGATATTTTCATTAGTTTCCTTATCTCTTGGTGGTGCCAGTTTGTGTTTTGTTTTTTTCGTAATTCTTTGAGAGTATTGCTTTTGTTTTTTGGCTCACTGCATTTGTGCTGATTGCATTTGAGAGTCTTTCAGGGCTGTTAATGCATGCAAATGTGCATTTTCCAATGGCTTAGTTCTGCTTCTTTGAATTTCCTGTAACCAGCCTCAGTGATGTTTATGTTCCTTCAGGATACTTCAAAACGTATTTATCGGATGTTTGTCTATGTTGATCTTATTGAATCTGCCCTTTTCTCTATTAGAACCCCTTTTTGCTCTCTTGAAAGAGCTTCTTGTAATGTTAGCTTGCCATGCTGACAGTGCTGCTTTGAAGGGGGTTTTGCATCAGGGACAGCTTGAAGACTTCTGCTAGCTTTGTACTCGAGAGCCGAGTCTCAGAACTGTTAGATATTCCCTGCAGAGAAACAGATTTGCAAAGTAAGCATCTCTTTCTTGCTCAAAGAGTTACTCATTAAAGCATAAATCTTTTCCTCTCCACTACCCTCCCCCAGCCTTCCACAATTCTTCCCATAACCGATGACACAGTGTATGGTGCATGGTGGAAACAGAACATCACGCGTGTGATTTTTTTTCCCCCAGATGTGCCTGAAGGACATAAAAAGGGAAAAAAGTGCAGCACACAGATTGGAAACTGAAATGGATATCTGCACTTGGCTACTTCCAGTGACTTGAATATGAACATTGTCTGTGTCTTAATGTATTTGAGGTTCAGATTTATAGCTTAGGCGCCATCTGACAAATATGGCAAAGAAACTACAAGACTTGAGATTAAAATCACAGAATCACAGAATGTTGGGGATTGGAAGGGACCTCAAAAGATCATCCAGTCCAGTCCCCCTGCCAGAGAAGGAACCTAAATGAGATCACACAGGAAGGTGTCCAGGCGGGTCTTGAATGTCTCCAGAGAAGGAGACTCCACACCCTCCCTGGGCAGCCTGTCCCAGGGCTCCGTCACCCTCACTGTAAAGAAGTTTCTTCTCAAGTTTAAGCAGAACCTCCTGTGTTCCAGCTCACACCCATTGCACCTTGTCCTACCATTGGGCATCACTGAGAAGAGCCTGGCTCCATCCTCATGACATTCGCCCTTTACATATTTGTAAACATTAATGAGGTCACCCCTCAGTCTCCTCTTTTCCAAGCTAAAGAGCCCCAGCTCCCTCAGCCTTTCCTCAGCAGGGAGATGCTCCACTCCCTTCATCATCTTGGTGGCTCTACGCTGGACTCTCTCCAGCAGTTCCCTGTCCTTCCTGAACTGTGGGGCCCAGAACTGGACACAATATTCCAGATGCGGCCTCACCAGGGCAGAGTAGAGGGGGAGGAGAACCTCTCTCGACCTACTCACCACACCCCTTCTAATGCCCCCCAGGATGCCATTGGCCTTCCTGGCCACGAGGGCACAGTGCTGGCTCATGGTCATCCTGCTGCCCACCAGGACTCCCAGATCCCTTTCCCCTACACTGCTCTCCAACAGGTCTGTCCCCAGCCAAAATACTGTATTATACCCATTATGAAAACATCTGTTGTTTCTTTGCATTGCATAAAATAGACATACTTTTCTCTAATGGTGCACTTCATCAAAATGAAAAATAATTTCATTTGCTTATTCACATAAATTGTTTGCTGCTGTATTAAGCAGTTTTCTGTGCCTTTAACCCAAGATACAACAGGTAAATAGCCACTATTGCAGTGTTATACTTTTGAAATAACTTTGAACTGCAAAAGAGAGTTGGTTTTTTGTTTGGGTTTTTTTTTGTTTGTTTTGTTTTGTGTTTTTAACACAAAAAGAAATGATACCAACATTTCGTTTGCTTTCTAGATTTAGAGTATAAAACAGGAAAAAGGGAATGATCTGTTACGGAAAAGTGCATAGGCTCTGAGAAACTCAGATGTACTGAACACTTTTATTTGTTTGGTCCATATAACATGCAAGGAAACAAGTTATTTTTGTTCTAATTCAGGAAGATAGGCAGTGCCAAACAATTTCTTTTTTTCCTTCTTTAACAAAATCTTTAAAAATAAAACTTTATCTTTGGGATCATGATAGTGCTGTCTTTGATTAGAAGTACACAGAAGAGTTGAATACGCTGGATGTTGATCTAAAGATGACTGAATTGATTATCAAATTACTTGTCTGTGACTATATTCATCTTCTCAAATGTTTAGTTTGTGGTTGTAACTGTTGTGTGCTCTCTTTGACATATTGCCTTCTTTTTTCAGGGTTGAATCCCACCAGATTTCGAATAGGTGACCAAGAGTTTGATTCTTTGCCATCTTTACTGGAATTCTACAAAATACACTATTTGGACACTACAACCTTGATAGAACCAGTTTCTCGATCCAGGCAGAATAGTGGCGTTATCCTCAGGCAGGAGGAAGCTGAATATGTGCGAGCTCTCTTTGACTTTAATGGAAACGATGAAGAAGATCTTCCATTTAAGAAAGGAGACATACTGAGAATCCGGGATAAACCTGAAGAGCAATGGTGGAATGCAGAAGACAGCGAAGGAAAGAGGGGAATGATACCTGTTCCTTACGTCGAGAAGTATAGACCTTCCTCTGCTTCAGTATCTACTCTGATTGGAGGTAACCAGGATAGTTCCCACCCACAACCACTGGGTGGGCCGGAGCCAGGGCCCTATGCCCAGCCCAGCATCAACACTCCGCTCCCTAACCTTCAGAATGGCCCTATTTATGCCCGGGTTATCCAGAAGCGAGTCCCTAATGCCTACGACAAGACAGCCTTGGCTTTGGAGGTACATAATGGGCAAAATTTAGAAAGAAGAGATCTATTCAAGGGATTTCCCTTTCAATCACGTTGTAGTTTTGGAGGAATAAGAAAGGGAAAAGCATTGTAATGCTGGTTTGACATTGTGATTAATAATTTATGGATAAAGGCTTTTTTTTTAATGAATAAGTGACTAGTCACTTGTAGACTAGAGTTTGATGATTATAGCATGTTTAGGTTACTGAACCAATATCATGTCTTTTGTCAAACATCACTAACAAGTGTTTCCCCATCTGTGTTTTCACTTCTGAAGTCTTTATTTTTGGGGGGAGGGAGAGGGAACAACTCATAAGTTGTGTGTCTGAACCTGTGTTCACTGTTGCTTGCCTCACCCCAATCTTTAAAATGTGTGCTGAGCCATTTGGTTGGTTTTGTGTGGGGTTTTGTTTTGTTAGTTTGTTTTTTTTACCAATCTGTGTCATCTGTTTAAAAGCAATCAGTGGAAACACTGATAGTCACTTTAAAATTACACAGACTGAGATGATGATCACACACATAGGGCTTTATTGTAACATTTTGGCCTTAAGCAGATTACCTTGGTTTATAGTTTGTGAAGCAGGGACGTACGTTCAATTCTTTAGGGAGGTCTTGTGTAAAGCAGTGATTGATGGTTTGTAATAAAGCAATGAGTTTCCCTAAGTTTGATTCACTTCCTGATATGATCAAGTACTGGTACCTGGCCTTTTTTTGAGATTTTCTTTCTCTCTTAAAAAGGAGAATAGAGTGCTTTATCTCTACACATCAGTTAGTTATCCCCCAAGTTACGTGTGAGGAAATTGAGACTAAGGTATTCTCAGTGGTAGACCTTTGCCTTAGGATGATATGTAAATCGTATCCTTTAATCTAGGCTTTCTTTGAGCTAAAGGCTCTGGAATTTCCTGATACCTAATTGACTTCCTGTTTATATAACATTTTAAGTACTTGGGAAAAAACAGTTTCTGTGCTGAGTCAGAGCATCTCCTCTTCACTCTCAAATAGTTTGTTTAAATGTGTGTAGCCCAAAAGGCACTTCAGTGATGTGGCAACTACAGGTGTGTGTCTTGTACAGAATTAGCAAATGCAGCACGTTCTACAGATCTGATAATTGATGTACAACCTCAAAGATGTGACATTTTTCCCTGTTGTAGGTAAAAATTTGTCTAGGGAAGCAATGTAAATATACTCTGAGTTACTATATGTTCTGTTATATTTCTGAATCAACAAGAGAGCCAGGATACAGAATGTAAATTTTTGGGTTGAGAGTTATATATGGAAGTTCATGCCACTCACTAGATTTTGGGGAAATGTGCAAAGATTTTAACCTTTAGACTTTCATACAACCTAAAATGCGCAAAGATTTTAACCTTTAGACTTTCATACAACCTAAAATGCTCTTTCC